AATATATTATAGCAATTAAATAAATATACTGTAAATATTTTAAGCGTAAAAGGAGTTGTAGAACTACACATAATTGAATTGTTTTTTCCTTGAATTAATATTAATTTTAGAACATTGAAGCTACAATTGTAGAGATTTTGAGATTCGTAAAAAAAAAGATATTAGAAGAGATGGAAATCATTCAAGCTTTAAGCCTCAGGCAAAGTTGATCGTGAATACTTCTGGATACTTTTATGTCCAATTTTGTCATATATCTCTTAATGTTTCTACGTATTTATACATCCCTGGCTTTCAAATATTTTGTTTTAATGTTTCTGATAAAGGTAAATCCAGAAAACGCTTTGGACGTGCACAATTTCTAATGTGTTATTTTCTTTTACAGGAATCTCGCCACTTTGAATTTTCAAATTTTGAATTCGAATACTTTTTTTTAATTTTTTGTACGTCTAGGTCCTATACGTCATATTGTTAAACAGCTAAACAATAGGGTCACACAATAGGATCAAACAATATCAACAAATAAACGTCCTATACCTACAAAATATTCTTTGAAGAGAACACATTGACATAGTGCATGTATATAAACAATAAATTATATTGGTAGTTATATCAATAAATGGATGCAAAACCTTTTATGTTGATGTTTAACCTCTGCCCACGTGATGAGAAAACATGAAACATTATTTGTAGAAGAGGGGAAATGAACATTGTAAAATATCTCAAATTGTGACATAACAGAAGTTAGCCTGAAGCGGTTTCAATGAAATATGAATGAAGGCTAACCAAAAATCATGCTAACTGTCAGGTCGTTTACATTAGGTATTCAGAGTGTGGTTTTGTCTAGCCTTTTTTATTCTCATTCCATTGACGTATAAATGCATAAAATTGGATTCAGCAACATTTCCACGACCTCATTTTTAATTCACAATTTGTAAAACAATTATTTGTTGTTTTCATCCATTAATTGATTCTAAATATTTACCCGACGTTCAAAATAAAAGTTACATTTGACGAATTTAAGTTAAATAAATTGTTATTATTTCGGTATCAGAGAGTCTTAATTGAATTAATATTCAATTCACCGACCAAAAATTGTTGTAATTTAATACATGTACTACATCTAGACTATAAATGTAAATGCAAATAAATTTTAATTAATTAATTTAAGTACGTGAAATATCATATATATACATGTACATAATGACATTATTGTGCTGAACAGGTTAAGTTTCAATTATATTATACGTTTTTATTTCCGCATCCTTAAATCTTTTTTTATATATATATGAACAGTAGAACGTATGACGTTTCCCTTCTCATATAAACAGGGAAATCAAAGATTTTCATAAAACTGAAGAGGACACTTTTAAACCAGAATATTAATTTTATTATAAAACGATAGAAAACTAACGAGATATCACAAAAGCTTTTATAGGATCTGTCAAAACAGAATTGATTAACATTAAAAATAAAATGATACCGTCCTTTCTCTCAAAATGAATATTTTCGCCTTATAATTACATTTTGAAGAGCAAAACAGAAATATGCGACATACAATTGATCAAAATTAGAACTGCATTATAGCCCATTGGCAACCATCCTATACATTATTATCTTCATTTTTTACCAATTGATTGATAAGAGCCTAGCAATTTTCTGATGAAATTCGATTTAATATAGAGATATGTGATTTAGGCCTTTCGACATGAAAAGTATTACGGGCAAATGTGTAAAATTGCCATAACACGGACTCCCTAATACGGTTCAATTTGCCATTGATGAAGTTCATTGCATCGTAAATTACAGAGTCCTTAGGGAAGGTTTCCATTAATTTGTATCATGATCAAAAATGTCATATACACATATATTTTTTATGAATAATTGAAAATGACAAATGCATCTTTTCAACTTTCCGTGAAAAAACCATAAAGGAAATAGACGTTTCCAAGATGATAAATTTGGTTCTTCGAACTTATGTGTAAGAAAGGCGACATTTTGCAATTGATAAAAGACTAGTTCATAGGATTTGACAGATTAATTGGTGGCATTATGCATATATTTTGCATAAGAATGCACACTATTAGTACGACTCAGAGACATACTGGGGAGCGGGTCAGAGGTTGAGGGACGTGGGTCATTAAAGCGATTACGGTAGATTAATTAACTAAAATGGGATGTTATTTAGGTGGCCTGACATTTAACTAGATTCTAGACCTGATGTTCTTAAAAGTTATATATCAGCAGAAACCAAAAACGAATAATTTTTTTTTATAAGATATTATATTTTTCTTGGTATTGTATAAATATATTTGAAATACATGGATGATGTGAAATCTTTTTGTAAATATTTAGAACATTTGTGATGTGAATGGGAGGAAAAAACAGTATCTGATATTGTTATAATATAAAAAAAAATAATATACGTTCATTCATTATTTTGATGAGAATAATCATAAAATGGAGAACAGAAAATAAATAACAACACCTCAAATTATTATAAAAGAGATCTTCGGCAATTTGGTTAGACGAAATTAGGCGCTAAATTAACATGCTACGTAAAAGTTGGTAAGAAAGAAAATTAGATGCGATACGAATTTTAATTTGAAAAAGAATATACCCGATCTAACCAAGTCCCGTCAAATCAAATGTCGATAGATGTAAAAAAAAAATCATGTCTTTTTAATTATGGACTTCTTCGTCAAATTCATTTCTATTATATTTACATGATAATTGTAGTTATAATACTAATACTAAAATAAAAAAACTGCTGATTTAGTTCATGAATTGGAAACGGATCATTAAAGAAGACAGACTTTATTACATTGTGTGATATTGCTAAATACTATCCACAAAAGGGTAATATAAGTATAATACATACATAAACCATATGCCTAAATTAACAGAACAAATAAAACAGAACAGGAATTGATTAAAGTTCTTGAAAAATCTTCACTTCTGAGAACAAGTTGTATATTCTAAAAAGTCTTCTAGAATTAAATCTTACAGATATTTATTTGTAAAAATGCTCAATCTGATTTTTGTTAGAGAAGGAAATAAATGGAAACGAATGCAGTGAATATTGTGATAAAGGACATAATTCTCCCGAATAATTTCCTCACTTATGGAATTACTAGTATAGTTTTTAATAGTAAGAATATTTTTCATTGCTAATCACAACACACAAAATTAATCAAATTCAGCACAATTTGTAATAATGATAAAACATTTATTATTAACAATAATAGTAATAGGCAATTTTTGCCTAATTTTGGCAAGAAATTTAGAAATCAACCCAAAATTGGATTATTATTATTATCAAATGATAAATAGCGCATGTATATTTAAGAAGGTTTGTCGTTTTGTTAACGAAAGCGGCTTACTTTTTGTACAGACAAATGATGGGTAAATTTATATAGACAAGCTAGACATCTGAAGAAATAAGATAAAATGCATACAGAATTTGAAAACGGAACATGTTGAATTTTCCGCAAAACTTGATGTTTTTTTCATAGTTTTATCAAACTTTATTTCAAAATTTTGTTTTATTTCATAGTTTTATCAAACAATATTACATGAAGGGCCAATCAGGTCTGCCAACAACAAACAAAATAAAGTCCAATAAATATAGATAAATGCAATAAAATAAAAGAAAACAAATATATGTACAAATAAAAAATCGAACTAACAAAACCCATTCAAGTATATACGCATACTAGAAAACATGGGTTTGCTGCAAATAAAAAAATGAAGTCTTTTATGCAATATAATTGATAGAAATTATGTGTAATTATGTACTTATGTAGAAAATAATGCGTGATCTTTTATGGTGTTATGTTATGCAAGTACAACATGAAAATACCAGACTGTGGTTCAGATAATACAGGTTCGACTAGTCCACACTGTACGATCAACTTCTTACGGTACATAAACTGAACTGTTGAAAAAAAACCCATTCAGAGGAATTCATTAGGTACATACATTTTCATGTAAAAAAATGACAACACTGTAGTTGTGTTAGTTTATCATTGAGTAAGTCGTCTCTTATTGACCATATGTTACACTGCTACGAAAGATCTTTTCAAGCAAAACATTTGGCAATATGTTACTATGCTACGAAATGTCTTTTTTAAGTAAAACACAGCTTTTGCTTCATTCACCGAAAACGATTTTAAACAAACATTTTCTCACGTGCAATATGAGTTAAAATAAAATGATTTAAAAAAAAAACAGTTTCATTACTGGTGTTTTATTCTCAATATTCTGTGCAATTTGTTGATGTTAGGTGACTTACTTACTTACAATATAACAACAAAACTATAAAACCATTGGGAAATGAAGGGGTTACATAAGGTTTTACAACATTCATTGTTTGGGTCCCGCATTGATCATTGTTCCTCATTGTTTCAACTTGCAATGGACAAAAAAAAAAGGCTTCGTGGTCCAAACAATGAGTCATATAAATATCCAGAAATCCCACACTGCGGATGGCTTTTCCGACCAAGAAGTCATATTTGTATAAAAAGCTACTGAACAGTATTGAATTGACTACAATTAAGCGAATTGACTGAACATTTCTGAATTTACCGCAGTGGATAAGTCTGAAATTAGACCGAAAGACTGAACATGAATGAAATATTTATTGTTCAGACCTTGATGGTAAGTTTTAAATCTAAAATGGTCTACTAGTAAAGGAACAAATTTCTTTTTTCATGATTTTTGTATATTATGGACCCTCTGCTATACATTGGTTCCTTGTTAGTATATTTTTAAAATTATTTCAATGATCACGTTACCTACCATGTATAGGAACATGCAGGATCAAGGTTGATATTTTCTCAAAACAGAAATTGGGCTCCATGCACAGACCTTATGTATGAATGAATAAAAAATTAAATGAATCACTATTATTTAAAAACTGCATGTGTTATTTAAAAAAAATATATGTTACAAACATTAAAGTGCCTTGTCACCCCTTCATAAATACGTTAAACAAAACTTACTTTTTCTATATTACTGTCTTAATTAGCTTGTAACTTTAAGATCAATTATTTTTCTAACTATACAAATTTTCTGTGATAATCTAGTCATTATAGGGAATTTAATTCGAGAAGAACTTAGTAATTGCTGCCTTGTTTTACGTTATTATGTATCATTAAAATTTTAAAGTTTTATTTGACTTAATGGTGAACTTATTCATATGTAACGACCTCATGGAATTCAGGTAGAACATTATCTTTTCTAATTGTTGGCAATCATTTCAGTTGCATGTTTCGTTTGCATGGGAAATGTAAAATTAGGGGCGTTTGTAAAATTATGTTTGCATGTACGGAGTGGTACTTATACAATGGCATAAAAGGTTCCGAAAGGAGAATACCACATGGGAAAACTTTTTTTTCCCATTTGCCTACTTGTTCACCACTACTATGAATCGTCCACCCATTTTGAAATAAATCGGATCTGGTTCAGTAGAAAAGTAATTCTAACTGTTTTTTTTTATTCTTTATAGAAATATTTATGAGTTTGAATGAGGTATAAGATTAGTTGTACCATTTATAAATAACTTTTAGGGATTACAGCCCTACTTCCGTAAAGTTCTACATAATGTACAATAATGTGATAATTTGTCCTTAAATCTTTAAATCTATAGGTTTAAAACATTATTAGCCAAAGCATTAGACTATAATTTATTATGGCTTCTCTTTCTTCTTGATTTTCAAATTGTTTCCTTGATTTGCAGTATTACATTTCCGGGTTCAGTAAAAAAAAAGTATGCAGTGACCTGGGACATAATACATTGACGTTAATATACTATTCCCAGGCAGTGACCAAGATTGTGGTTTAATCAAGGGAGCAGTAAGTTCAAACTGTTCCAGCGACAGAAGTTTTTATGAAATATCAATAAAAAAAACGATCATGTTTTATTTAGATCCACGCCAAAATTTTCTCCCTGATTTTACAGTAGTCCTCCAAAAGTAATATCGGAGTATCTTCGTTAAATACCCAAGTTAAAAAGGCTACGGCTCATAAATCAAAAGGCCTTTTATTAGGTTTATCTGCAGTTTTACATTTACATCACGAATATGTTTTAAACAATTGAACCTATACAAATGAAATGAATACCCGTAAGAATGTTGAAAAACCCATACGATCGTCTCTTCATATAAAGTATAAAAAATCAGACTATCGAATTCCGTTTATCAGTCCAATTTTCGATATCTTTATTCGTTTATTCCATTACATTGAGGAATGATTAAAGCGATAGTGTAGAGTTTATCTTAAAGAACACATCACAACCAGTTTTTGATACGTCTTTGATAGGTCAAAGATTGAATAACGTGTTAATTGTACGATGTAAGGTGTCTGTCTGAGTTTTTTAAATCATGAGGCTCTAGACGGTCCTTTGTACGACAATACGGGATCTTCGACGGGACGATAAATAACGGTCATTCTAAATGTTAATATGGTATAAAAACATTCGAACTTCTTCCGTTTTGTAATAAATTCCATCATAATGATAAGGCAGGTTTGCAAGTTTTTGTATAGGGCCAATCCCCATTAGTCTGAAATAGGTTTAAACATTGTTTTGAATCTTTCTATTTACATGTACACACTGTGGTCATGTTATTTTATTGTCTGAGTCATCGTATTAGTCTTGAAAAATCAAACTTGAATAGAAGTAATTTTTCGACCGGCACATGGCTGCCATCTTCAGTGCCAGGTCAGGTTATCAGACAAGTTAGTAGACATATAAACAAAAAGCTACCCCGAAACAGATTGTATATAATGATTTTTCAAATTTAAAACTTTTCAGGATATGGTTATACCAGTTATACAGGGCGTTTTTCTATCAATATCTGGTACAAACCACTCAAACTGGTACCCTGGTCTCCTGACATTGATTGACGAAGGTACCATGGGTACCAGAATTTTGGTACGATTCAGTTGAATCTGACTCTTACTTGGCTTCTGACATTTCTGTCTTGTATATTTAATCCTACTTTTTCTAGTTGGGATTTCTCTTACACACCAACTGCTGTTGGTTTAATATTGTCTATTACTATTCCTGATTTGTAGTTGCTATTAACCTTAAAACAATATTAACATTGAAGCCGCCTCCAATCTATGAATGATCATATCTAAGAAGAGCAATGGAAGTTTGAACAATTGAAACAGTATAACTTTAAGGTTTTGTCTTGTAAAAATATGGAAGAATAACAACGGTATGTGCGTGTAAGAGAAGGTTCCATGGTTTTCATTGATATAAGGTTTCTTGTGTTATTAAGGAAATGGGAGCTTTAGTCGTGGGCCTCTGAATATCAAAGAACTTTATTGTGTACAGGAACTGCGCGTATTTCAGTATATTAGTATAAAGAATTGAAGAATGTAAAATGTTAAAAAGTCGAAATCTTATATAAATTAAGTCGGTACAAAACTAAAACACAAAAAGAACAAAGATATAAACAATCTCATGAAATCAGCACATCATATGGCAAAATTTGGGGTACTTTGCTAATTTGCATAGCGGCCATATTGACTTATTATGACGGCAGCCATTACAATATGATTATATATGCCCATAAAATAAAAATGCAAATATGCAAATTCCCAAGTCGAATAATTTGTCCGCATATAGGTGAATTGTACATTTTGTTTGCCTTCTGTTCGTGTACAAATGAACATTGTCTACTTTGACAACTTTCGGCCTTTTCAGTTTGAAAATCGGAAGCGTAACCGTAGTATAATTGCTATCTGATATAACGATTTTTCGTGAAAAAGCAAGATCCAAAATAGAAATAAAGATACAAGAAGGCATTGTTCATGATTTGTCCGCATGTAGGGAAACACCTTGCCGGTTGAATTTTCAGGTTAAATAACTTTAGCTCACCTGCTGTCTTAAGTTTTCGGCCAAATTCTTTTAAAAACGTGATAATTTCATCCTCCCCATTCCGTAAATAATCAAATTTTAATCATTTGTCCTTCAAATTACACAAAATATTTGTAAATATCCGCCAAAGGAAGTTTTCAAAGACACGTTAGTTTTAGATCCAAAACGGAAAAAGACTGGAATATCCGCAAATTTGATATAATTTATATTTTCAATCTACAACTAAGGGGAGTAATTAAATCAAAAGGGCCAAAGTCACGTGGTGCAAATCATATGAATAAAGTACCTAGGATTTTGCCATATGTATAAAACGAGTGACAAAAATCCCTAAATTCTAGTATGTACTGCGATTGTTTTCACACACTTGTAGTATAAAGGACATTCGATGTTAGATAAAGGGTTTTAAGGATATTAAATGTTAGATAAAGGGTTTTAAGGATATTCGATGTTAGATAAAGGGTTCCAGATACAAAGCAACATAAAATGCACACAGGAATGATCTCTAGAAACGCTGGTATCTATAAAAGAAGGAGTAAAGTGCACACAGGAATGATCTCAAGAAACGCTGGTATCTGTAAAAGAAGGAGTTAAGTGCACACAGGAATGATCTCTAGAAACTCTGGTATCTGTAAAAGAAGGAGTCAAGTGCACACAGGAATGATCTCTAGAAACTGGTATCTGTAAAAGAAGGAGTTAAGTGCACACAGAAATGATCTCTAGAAACTCTGGTATCTGTAAAAGAAGGAGTTAAGTGCACACAGAAATGATCTCTAGAAACTCTGGTATCTGTAAAAGAAGGAGTTAAGTGCACACAGGAATGATCTCTAGAAACTCTGGTATCTGTAAAAGAAGGTGTCAAGTGCACACAGGAATGATCTCTAGAAACTGGTATCTGTAAAAGAAGGAGTTAAGTGCACACAGAAATGATCTCTAGAAACTATGGTATCTGTAAAAGAAGGAGTTAAGTGCACACAGAAATGATCTCTAGAAACTCTGGTATCTGTAAAAGAAGGAGTGAAGTGCACACAGGAATGATCTCTAGAAACTCTGGTATCTGTAAAAGAAGGTGCCAAGTGCACACAGGAATGATCTCTAGAAACTGCTATCTGTAAAAGAAGGAGTTAAGTGCACACAGAAATGATCTCTAGAAACTCTGGTATCTGTAAAAGAAGGAGTTAAGTGCGCACAGAAATGATCTCTAGAAACTCTGGTATCTGTAAAAGAAGGAGTTAAGTGCACACAGGAATGATCTCTAGAAACTCTGGTATCTGTAAAAGAAGGTGTTAAGTGCACACAGGAATGAACTCTAGAAACTCTGGTATCTGTAAAAGAAGGAGTTAAGTGCACACAGGAATGATCTCTAGAAACTCTGGTATCTGCAAAAGAAGGAGTTAAGTGCACACAGGAATGATCTCTAGAAACTGTTTGGTATCTGTAAATAAAGGAGAAGATATTAGGGGGGGATAGGGCGGGTAGCAAACAAAATAAATAAGTCGAAGAAAATAGAAAACACCATGGCCAAGGAAACAATGATGAAAAGACAAACAAAAGTAAACGAAACACTATATATAACACTAAAGATTGAGCAACGCGAACCCAACCAAACAACATTTAAGGAGAACTCATGTGCTTCGGAAGGGTAAGCAGGAAAAGAGGGTATGACTGTGGCTACGAAAAGTGGAACATATACATGGTCATCTGAGCCACATGTATGCCATAAAGGTTCATTACTTTACCAGTAGGACTTCTCAGTTCGATTACTTTTTATTTATAATTGGCAACCCTCTACTAAGGAAATTAAGATAGGAAACATAATCACTGGATTATCGTATTAACTGAGAAATAAGTACTCCTTTTTATAGTCCTATCCAGAAACCTATTTCCGGAATCATGAATTTATCTCTAAAATTATAATTTCAAGCAGGTTATTTCCCTTGACGGGCAGTAGAGCGGCTTCGAATCAATTAAAATCAAGAGTTAAAGTTAAGCGACTTTTTAACGGTTTTTACCTTCCAATTTATTGTAATCAAACTCAATTATAAAGCTGGAAATGTTTGTAAGTAAAATAAAACATTGTTTTCTATTGCTCTGCACTGCAGTGAACTAGAATTTATAACAGAATACTTTCCAAACAAGGGAAATAATTCGTATTCAATTTTAATTTTAAAATCAGATTCAGGATTTCGGAAGTGAATTACAAGAAAGTCCTTATTGCGCTGCAGGAATGTTGCAATTTCTCTTTGAAAGTTAATATGGAGTCTTAACATCAATAAAGTCTCCTGAATAGATAGCATGTATCCAGCTAAGACAATACTGCTTTGTGATTATGATAAATACTACTTATTATTATTTTTATTATGTGTTTGTTTTGTATAATCTACTTCGTATACTATTTTTTTATTTTGCGATTTTTCAACAAACAGCACAGATAAACTTCAGAAAGCATATCTCATATATAGAATAGATCTTGAGAATGTGACGATCCAAATCCTACAAGATCAAGTACAGTTTGGTACCCATCCCAGCTTCTGAAATGCTTAAATAATGCTACAAAACTTCAGAACAGTTACCACATATCACGACATATTTAAAATAACGACTTTAATGCAAGGGTATCTATAATTACTCAGCAACTTCCTGTGTACCCGAAACGTATATGCTTAGGTAATCGGTACACAGGAAATTGATGAGCGATGGTTTTAATAATGCATCACAGGGTACAGAATGCTCACATATGTCCGGTACTAAATTTCAGTACTGATTTGATTCGTAGTATCTGGGGAAAATGCGACAAAAATTTCATACATGACCATAATATGTTAGAATATTAAAGTATTTGGTAAACAGGAAGTCGGTGGGCTATGGATGTGCAAACGCATCAAACGGTTTCGCGTTCTTACATGTAGCTTGATACCAAATACCAAGAAGCTATGGTTTGTATAGTTCATAAAAAAATGAGTCAAACAATTGATTGGACGGACGGACACACGGACGGTCAGATGTAAACCAGTAACACCCTCCTTCGTAGCGAAGGAAAATACTGCACTCGCACATGTCCATACAAAAATTTTTGCAAAAGATTGTGCATGAAATATTATTTGTGTTATATTGTCTTTTATGTGTTTTATTTTCTAAGAAATATACTTTCTAGTAACAGCAGTTTCGGTTTTGAAACCTTCTCCCTTGTAAAGAGTTTCCCTTTGCTAGCAACTTTAATTATTGTAATTTATTGTGATTTACTTCTTGTAGAGAAAGAATAATTTATTTAATACAAATTTCGCATTACCACAATTTATTGAGAAAAACATGTTTCATGCAGGAAATCTTACGTCATCTTCTGTTTTTTTTTAACGCTTTTTTATTTGACATGAATAAATTACTTTAAAGCAAGGAACCCAACAAGATTTTTACTACATGCATGTTCAATTTTGTATTTACTTTACCGGGTTCGGGAACTATATTTCGTTTTTGATCAACTTTACAATATGTGGTTATTTGGCTTGATTTAAAAGTGTACAATAGGTTTTTTCCAAAATAAACTGGTAATAAAAAAAATTATTCATTGCTTCAAGTAGAACAAAATATCTTTATTTCTTAAAAAAGAAAATCATATATTTTGTTTGACTATTTATTTAAGTTCTTGAATGGCATGTTAATGTTCAAAAGAGAACGTTTTTCCTAATTATTTTGGGTAAATGGAAGGAGTGGGTTAGAATACAAAGTCGCATGTATTGTTAGGAGTAATTTTTTGGGGTTCACACGTAGAAGTTCTGAATTTTGATAAATTTAAAGGAGAATATAGTCGAATTTATACTAATTATATTATATTTCTTTTTAATTTTGTCTGTATTGATGTATAGATGTATTGTCACTGTCACTCGATTAACAATGAAACATGCAAAATGATCTCTGACAGAATTGATAATATTGATATTTCGTTAATGTAAAATAAACATTAGACGCTTCGTTAACAAATTATTTTATTATATAATTGATTTGTGCATTTTATGGGTATTAAATGACTTTGGTGGCAGTAAATATCGAAATCTGTTTGGAAATAAAATTTAAAAATTAATATAAATAGAGAGTACAGCTCCAAGTAAACTTAACCCGCGTGTTTAATTGAATGCACTATTATTGCTTTTTGTTTGTCTTGTGCATTTATTTATGGAAAGCAAATAAACCTTAAATGTATATGGTATTACATTTACGCATTTTAGAAACTGATTTTCACGTATGACGTACGGAATCATAAAAAAAGAGTAAAAAGGTGTTTTAATATTACAGATGACAATTCAGGAGAGTCTTCCTGGAACATAATATATTGACTATAACAGTCCCAGAGTCTTCTTTTAAAATTGTGATTTTTATAAATAAATATCTTTTTTGTCATATAAACATATTTAGTTTGTGACAAAATAAACATTATATAGCAAAGAAATAACAATTCTATGATGAATGAACACATGGGAAAAAATATAAGACTTCTGTCCTCAGTTCTAATGACTGTTTTATAAAGGAGCCAATATTTCTAACATGTTCCATGATAGAGGAGTTAAGCATTTCTTATACTTTCTGTTTTTGTGTAAGACATAAAGTTATGAGTGGGTAAACAATTTTTAAATAGGTTATCCCTTAGGTTTTTGTTAATTTTTAATGTCAACTCTGGTATTCTTAATATTCATATAACGTGTGCATTTCAAAGTTAACATAAAAGCTGACCTAACACCTAATACATACCAAGCACAAGCACCAGCACAGGCATATATTTATTTCTTTATTTATATAAAAAAAATATCATTTTCTTATTTTAATATTTTTGAACCCTAAAAATATGTCAAAACATATTAAATTACAAACAATATTAAATTAAAAATACAGTTATAAAAATACGATCAGGGTTGCATAATTTTGTTTTAATTAATTTTAAATTAAACATTTCATTCAATATTGTTCATAAACTCAACATCATAGTAAATAAGACAACGAGTAAAATATAAAATAGCGGAAAAAAAAGTCATTTCATTACGGAATTTTTTATGACGTCCCATTTAGTTTCTTGTAATTAATTTTAAGATACAACAATGCACAGAACATTATAGATATCAATAACAATATGCCAAAGTTATTAAAATCGATTATTATTTTTGGTTTGATTTATTGGTCGCAACGACTGTTCTTATTTACTAAACTATTTAATTAATTGATAACTGTTTGTACATTAAACAGATGCGTTTATCTATATTGTTTTATATAAAAAAGAAATACTTGAAGCATATTTAAGATGTAAACAGATGACAAAAGTATAAAACAAATATTTTTGTGAAATTAATTAGTACTTATAAATGTGGCGATATAATCATATATACTTAGATACATATCAATGCTTTATCATGGAAAGAGATAGTTAAGACGGAAATTAAAAAAAAAAATATCTTAGTAATGTAATTTTTTGTTAGTTCAAGAAAGAATTAAAATTGAACCGAAAGTAGACATATCGTTGTCCCAGGAAGTAAAAAAGTTATACTCACACTATTATGTAATCATAAAAATATGTTGCATCTTAAAATAATCCCGATAAAATCCTTAAAATGGTTACTTTGTTGAAAGAGCAGAATTAATTACCATAATAAAATTTATCCCAATTATATTCTTTAAAATCAACGTCAACGTTTTCATTCAAAAAATCATTCAAAGATGTCTAAAATAACGACCATTTTGGTCCGTCTTTCTAAAATGTGTGAATTATGCATATTTAAATCAGATAATTTTGTTGCATTTAGTGATACGGTGGTTTATAAATAGATACATCGAAGTTCTTCTTCTTTTTGTTTCAATTTTAATATAAAATAATTTCAAAGTTTTATTAAACATATTGTAGAGGCCTTGACTCATGGCACGATCATTGACATACGGGTTTCCTAAGCTAAAAGGTGGGGCAGATGCTTGACTTCACTGCACATCAATCACAATAAACATGTAACATTGCGCAAGGA